AGTCGAGGGACGTCCCGATGGCCGACGTTGCAAAGGCCGGTATCGAACTCGACGAGGGTTCCTCCGGTCCTGCCTCCAGTAACGCCACCCGCCATTTTGGATTCTCGCTCAGTCGACCCGCAACCACAGAACCTAGAAAAATGCACATAAGTATGACGTCAAGAAATTCAAAATGGTGTCTAAACTGAGCACTGGAAAAAAACACATCGGATCTAGAGTCCAGACTCTTGAAAACATTGACAAGAAAAAATGCTCTTGATTCAATCGGATTTTTGCTTGAATCAAAACGAAATCCGCTTAAATTAAGAGGCTTGAGTCTTGATTTAAGCTAGATTCTGATTGAATCAAGTGTACTTTTTCTTGTCGATGTTTTTAAGAGTCTGGACTCTAGATCCAATGTATGTTTTTTTTTCCCGGTGAGGAATAATGGACCAGTAGACAAACTACGAATTTAAGCACTCTGATACTTATTTCTAACCGAAATTTTGGTTAGAAAGTTTTGGCGAACTGTGTGAAATACAGTTCGCATAACGAAAATTACTGGAACCAACTACTAACTAAGAAATTTACTTTATTTTCTTTCTAATAAAATTTTGGGCAGAATTAATTTCACTTTAAGATTCGTAAATTCATCAATATCTGCATCAACAGACAGTGCATCTGCATATCCAAAGCGACTTCGTTCTCTGAGTTTTTGTAGGTAGGACGCACACAAATCAATTTTTGAGGATGCGACTATTACGACGCCTGGGTGCTGTTTTTGCCTAATCGTCAAATTGCAGGCGAACAACGATCTCCATCAGGGATCGGGATTTCGAGAAAACAGCAGAGCGAGTGCTTCATCATTATCAAATTTTGAAAAAAATAGATTCAACATATCAAAAAATTCATAATTTATACCAGATATTGATTTGCGCATCTCATATTCTTACGAGATACTTGGTCTAGGTCTATTGCTCGTAAGAAATACAGCCAAGTTAATAGATTTTCTGCATGTAAAATCGCACGGATTTCACGTTGATCACATCAAAAGAGTCTTGAATCTACTCCCTAGCGCGCAATCTGTGTATTTTGTAACACGCTTTTTCAAATGTATCGTGTCTGCGGGCAGTTTTCTATAGCGGCAGACAATCAGGTTTGACTCGACATGATTAGCCTGGATGCATGAATTTATAAAAATTTGACTAATTTAATTAGCGACATGAGCATTATCATTAAACATTTTGTGATTTCATGCATATTGGCTAATCTTGTCAAGTCATATCAAATAGATACAATAATCAGGGTTGCCACCGGGAAAACCGGGAAATGTCAGGGTAAATGAAGAAAAATGTCAGGGAAAAATCCTTAAGTCACTTTTTTTTTGCTTTCTAAGAAAGGTTTGTCGTTTCGAATGACGAATTCGCCTGAAAACTATCTGTAATTATGTCGTTTTCACCATCTGGCATATCTTCAATTGTCAGGGAATTTCACCAAAATGCACTGGAAAAAAAAACGCATTGGATGTAGAGTCCAGACTCTTAAAAACATCGACAAGAAAAAGTACTCTTGATTCAATTAGAGTTAAGCTTAAATCAAGAACCAAGCCTCTTAATTTGAGCGAATTTCCTTTTGATTTAAGCTTAAATCTGATTGAATCAAGAGTCCTTTTTCTTGTTAATGCTTTCAAGGGTCTGGACTCTCAATCCAATGTGTTTTTTTTCAGTGTGTGTCAGGGAAATCAGGGAAATGTCAGGAAATTTCAACTTCTAAATTCTGTGGCAACCCTAAATAATGCAGAATGGACCACGAGACAAGGTACGGATTTAAGTAATCTGATACATGTTTCTTAACAAGAATTTCACGTAAAACACGATTCACACAACGAAAATTACTGAAATTAACTCCTAAAGAAGATATTAACGTTTTTATTTCACATTGGTTACGAGGAATTTGAACTGCCCGCTCTCAAGAAACTCAAAGCTCTACGTGAGTCAAATCGTGCACTGCGACGGTTTCAGCAAGCTTCTCGACCGAGCAATATTCATTTCCCGCCATGTATTTTTCAAACTATAAGCAATTTGCGATAGCTGAGCCAAAGCGTCAAGATTGAGGTTACCAGATTTTTATATTGCAGAGAATGTCATGACAACGTTTAGCGCGCGATGTGAATCACGTTGAGCATTGAGTTTTCATGAGCGGATGGTTTGAATTTACGCATCAAGAATCATAAAATATCTTCGTAAGGAGTTAATTTCGGTAATTTTCGTTGTGCGTATCGTGTTTTACGTGAAATTTTGGTTACGAAACATGTATTAGAATGCTGAAATTCGTACCTTGTCTAGTGGTCCATTTCAAGAAATCAGGTTTGCACTGAGGGAGACTTAAGAAAACGAAAGTTTCAGTGCAATTTTAACTAACCTGCAACTCCACCTCCGACGACAATGAAATCAAAAACTGTATCCTCTTCGCGAATTTTGGCCTGGGACTGGGTTCGGTTGCACGGGTCGGTTAGATCGCAGTGGGATCGGATCATCATGTCGAGCAGCGTCATGAACAGGGTGACGTTGGCCCCGCAGGAACTGCTCAGGTACGCGGTGTCCTCGAATTGACACTCGCAGTGTGACGACATCTTGGGAACTATAAATCTGAAACTGAAATCAAAGAAACATGAAAAGGTAATTTTCCAAGCTATGACTCATCCCTCGACGACAAGTCAATAGACAATTCCGAGGAAAACGAAGAAGATTACTTATAAACATATAGAAGACTGAGGATCTTCAAATGTAACTTAATCTTTAAAATAAGTCTATAAAGGGAAACTACTTGGGGAAACCAATATGTAAATATTATAGGAACTTCTAACACTATTAGCATGTACATTATATTGGCATTCGGCCATAATTCTGTCCAATTATGGTTCCACAATGTAAAATAAATAATAAATAATTCGTTTAATTGAAAAAAAAAGAAAAAAAAAGCTATGACTCAATCCGAAATATAGACTAAATCAAGACCGCGCTCAAAATCGTTTGTTGAACAGCCTCTTTTCTCAAAAAGTACCGGTATGGTTTATGTTGTGATCGAAGAAGTCTTATACGTAGAATCATAAAAAGGACAATTTTCACGAGCCTCGAGTAAAATTCAACCCTATTTAGAAGTAGACCCTACTCAAGGATTGGGAAACTTTGTCGCCACAACTTGGCAACGCTGCTTCACGACTGTTCGCTAGATCGTAGTGTCAATGACAGTCTTAATGCCCGAGTAACATCAACTGGTAAAATGTTCATTGTTCCCCCTTAAAATTAAGAAAAGATCGATCACTGTTGTTTTTCAACCGTAGAACTTCAAAATATTAACTTTTTTACATGGGCATATTTAATAATTTTATTTCTGGGACGACGCTCGGGTGAAATGAGGTAGGACGGGCCTTCTGATGCCAATATCTGTGTCAACATAAATAACGCATTCAATATCGTTGATAATAACTCCTTGATACAAATATTCGTACTCTATGATCACGCGTGTTGCATATGAACAAAATGGAAGGCGCATCGGTCACTCATGCTCATGAGGCAATGGAAGCAGCAGCGTGTAGCGCGCCATCACAAAAATTCGGCAATTTGAAATTCTCTGATAAATAATGAAGCAAGAGGACATGAATTGATGTTTTTACACCATATTCTTGGTTCAGAATGGTATTTCCTATCGCCACACCAAGTCATGACAGAGTGTCCCTGCGAGCAGTGCTTCATGTACTAAGATGACCGGAGCGCCTTCAATTTTTTGCACGCAACACGGATGTCCAAAGAGCACCAATAGTTGCATCAAGGCGCTTTTACCGATATCATAGTCCTCTGCTTGGATATCAATATTGAAGCGTTGAGAAGAACGTCATATCAACACGCCATATCCGTGCAATTTACTCTAATAATTTAAAAAATTTCGAAGAAATATATTCCAAACTATCTTAAATAGTAATGTTAAAATATGTAATGTAAAAAATGGTGCTAGGTCATTTTTCCTAAATTTTTTTTTCCTACATCAGGTTTTCCTATTACTTTTTTCCTACTCGTTTTTTGTCCTATTACAGTAAGTCCTACGAGTGAGATGTCCCACTGGCTTTTTTCCTAAGGGTGTTTGTCCTAATAATTCAATAATAATTGAAACGTAAACATGAGTAGAGTAGAGGGAAATTTTTCAGAAAGAGTAAAGTTTTCTCAGCGAGCCGAATATAAGTGCGTGAACAGGAGACATTACAAGCTGAGCCTTCTATACCCTCAATATAAGGAGGAGGATGAAGCTCCACTACTTACGGGCATGCGGCCACAATTTTAACTTGTGAGGTACCTATGTTGTTTTTTTACTTTCTCGATCCCCTAGTTTTAAAATTGAATTTCGGACAAATGCCCCTAGGAAAAAAGCCAGTAGGACATCTCACTCGTAGGAGTAACTGTGATGGAACAAAAAACAAGGAGGAAAAAAGTATAAGGAAAAATTGCAGTAGGAAAAAATGTTTTCGGAAAAATGACTTGCCACCTAAAAAATAATGCACAAACGAATGCTCCTGTTCTGCACCAAAGGTATGGCCGATTGTGACTGACCTAATCCACATTTTGCTGCTTACGGACTAAAGTTGTTGTTGTAGACATTAGAAGTATTAGCGGAATAGTGTTCTATATAATTAAAAAGAAGCAAATGCCTGCGTGATCCATGTGAATGTTCATCATGAAAACTATTTTCCTTTGAAAGAATTTATTTTTACCTTTTTTGGTCAGCTTCATTTTCCACGTTAATAAACATAAGTTTGCAGATGATGAGTAAAGAGAAAACGGTACCAAAGTATTCGCGGAATAAATTTGATACTTGATTGCGTCCTCACAACACCGATTTAGGAAATTGAAAAAAAAAAATGGGTTTGGAGTGCCACGATAAAATTGGTCGGAAACCGGGGTCAAATGAGGTCGAATCGTGGAACCATCAAATGTGAAAATTAATCGCCCTATAACTGTCGTCGGGAGTTCCGGAAAGGGAAGTCGGGAAAATTAATTGACTCTTGTCGCGGTTCAGTCAAGCTGCGCCTCTCAGTGGGCGAGATTTCCCCGAAAACCGAATGAGAAAACATTTTCATAATCGCAGCGCAGCTGGTGCAGGGAAGGAACTTCTCGCTTGTGATGTTTCAGAATCTCCACCAAAATTTTGTCCATCTTAAATGGACGTATTTCTGCCAAACAGAACTGTGTGCATTATGACGTGAACCCTGTCATGCATGTATTCTTTTGGGTCTCAGGGCTCATGTCTGAATGCACATAGTTCCGTTTGGCAGAAATACGTCCAAATAAAGGCAACGCATACCTCAGTCCACAAAAAACTCAAAATTTAGTCATTGATACCAAAGAAAAATAGAAATAATTAAGAAGAAACGACACTTTTATTGAGGACCATTCACCAAGAATATACCAAGAAAAAACATAAGAAAAGCATAACCTCTCTAGATCTAAAATTTTATCAACAGCTGTTTTTTAGCAAGTATTAAACTTAACATCCTGCCCCCTGCTGATCTATTTGATCAGAACAGGTAATGGACAAAGTTCTGTCACGGCTCGAATAAGT